ATAAGCATTCAAGAAGATCAACAGACCCCAGGAAGGATAGACCCTAAAAGACAATCACCAAGACATATAATAATCAAGCTCTCCAAAATCAAAGATAAGGAAAGAATCCTGAAAGCAACTAGGGAAAAGAAAAGTGTAACATACAAAGGCAAGAAAATCAGATTAAGATCAGCAAGAATGCAATGGGGAGACATATATAAAACCCTGAAAGAAAAAAACTGCTGGCTGACCAAGAAACCTCTACCCAGCAAAACTGTCAATCAAATATGAAGGTATAATCAAAACATTCTAGGAAAACCAGAAGCTAAACGATTTTGCCTAAGCCAAACCTGCAATGAAAAATATCCTAAAAGGAATTCTGTGGACTGAGAACCAACAAGAACAGACAACAACCAGAGAATGACATATGTGGCAGCATTACCTTGAACTCAAATTGACAAACGGAAGTCAAGAACAGAATAAAATCATAAGACACAGGATCTGGGAGGTCAGTCTATGATCAAAACAATTTCAATATGAAAGAAGGTAAACACAGAGGAACAGAGATCCAGGTAGTGAGAAGGTCAGGTAGATTGTTGTTGTTATATGTGATCGAGGTGGCACCGACCCATAGCGACCTGATGCACAGCACAACAAAACAATGTCCAATCCTGGGTCAACCTCACTACTGTTGCCACACTTTAAGTCTATCGATGCTGCCACCTGGCCAATCCATCTCATTGGGGGTCTTCCTCTTTTTCTCCGAACCTCCATCTTACCAAACATGTTATCCTTCTCCAGGAACTGGTCCCTCCTGACAATATGTCCAAAGTATGAGAGACGAAGTTTGGCCATCGTGGCCTCTAAGGAGCACTCTGGCTGCACTTCTTCCAAAACAGATCTATTGGTTCTTTTGGCAGCCCATGGCACTTTTAGTATTCTCCTTCAACACCATAATTCAAAGGCATCAATTCTACGGTCTTCCTTATTCACTGTCCAGCTTTCGCATGTATATGGGGTTATTGAAAATACCATGGCTTGGGTCAGGCACACCTTAGTCCTCAAGCTGACATCTTTGCTCTTCAACACTTTTAAAAAGGCTTGTGTAGCAGATTTGCCTAATGCAATATGTCATCTGATCTCTTGACTGCTGCCTCCGTGAGTGTTGATAGTTGATTCAAGAAGAATGAAGTCCTTGACAACTTCAACCTTTTCTCTATTGATAAGTATGTTGTTTATTGGTCCAAGTGGTGAGGATTTTTGTTTTCCTGACATTGAGATGTAATCCATACCAAAGGCTGTACTCTTTGATCTTGATCTTCATCAGTAAATATTTCAAATCCTCTTCACTCTCAGCAAGCAAAGATGTATCATCTGCATATTGCAGGTTGTTAATGAGTCTTCCTCCAATCTCGATGCCAAGTTTTTCTTCATAGAACCCAGTTTATCGGATTATTTGATCAGCATACAGGTTGAATAAGTATGGTGAAAGAACATAACCTTGTCGCACACCTTTCTTAATTTTCAAACATTCAGTGTTCCCATGTTCTGTTCGAACAACTGCTTCTTGGTCCAGGTACAGATTCCTCATGAGTAAAATTAATTGTTTGGGAATACTCATACTTTGCAATGTTGTC